ACATTTCATATATAATTCTTCAAATCATGCTATCACAAACTCTTGTTAAAGAAAGCCACCTACTATTAACAAGCTCTAGTTACACAAGTATTCCTCAGTCATTTGAGGTTAACCCTCTGCAGTTAACCAATGTGAAAACAGAAATTGTGATTACACCTGTGATTTTGAGAATCCTTTGATTCTTGAGCATGGCTAAGCAAAGCATGTTTTCATGAATGGTTTCTCCAAAGGAGAAGCACACCACTCCATGTCATTTTTAAGTCCTCACTATCTACCGAATTAGAACTGTGGAATACTACAAAGCCAAATGGGTTCCATCAGCAACCTGAAGTGAGAACATCTTAGGAACTTGCTAATGTAAACGTGCAGAGGGCAAAACAAAGGGTTGAAGACTTTTTGTGAAATCTAACCTTACTCCACAGAACCGAATATTCTTCAGCAATAAAGTACAGATTCCACAGTAGATGAAACTTGGAAAACATATGCAAAAATCAAAGAAGCCACTCACCAAAAAAAAAAAAAAAAAAAAAAACCTATTGTATATATATGAAATATTCGGAACAGGCAAACCTATATAGACAGAAAGTAGATTGGTGGTTAACTAGGGCTGGAGCAGGTGGGGGTCAGGGATTGAGACCTAATGGGTACAGCGTTTCTTCTAAGCAAGATGAAAATGTTCTGAAACTAGATTTGATGTTTGCACAATCCTGTAAAGTTAAATAAAAATCTTGAATTGTACACTTTAAACGGGCAAATTGCATGGTGTATTGATGATATCTCAATAAAGTTGTTTGTAAAAATCTAACTCACTAACTGATTAGTGAATCTTTTATTCTTCACTGCATGGAAAAATAACCTCTTCATTAAAAACTAAAAATAAGTGCTCAGAGTGCTGTCTTATGTTTAAAGTTATAAAATATCTTGACTTTGGAAGTCTGCTTACCTTGCCTTTGCATCTATCATCTCCACTTTATTTCAATAGCAATCATTTTAGATGAACTCCAGTAATGGAAACTACTCAAATACATGCAAAACGTATTTATGCTCAAACCACATTCTACAGATCACATTTTTTTATTGCTCTATAGCAGTCACTGTTCTTTCCTTTATTTAGTACAAACTGACCACTTATCAGTCTTCTTTTGATTACTTGCTACACTGACCTTCAAACAACTGAAACTCTACATTCACAGGATCTCCTTTTGTTCTCCTAAGAAATCCAGGAAATATTCACTGACAGACAAAGGAGTCTTACCTACGAAACTGACTAAACCCACCTGCTAGGGGTGTAGGGAACACAGGGGATTCACCAGAGCGAGAATACTACTGGTGAGAACCAGGAAAAAGAGATGGCCCAGTTCTTGACCAGGAGATAGAGAAAAATTACAGTATGGGCCAAGTAATGAAAAGTCTTTTTTTTTTGAGATGGAGTTTTGCTCTTGTTGCCCAGGCTGGAGCACAATGGCTCGATCTCAACTCGCTGCAACCTCTGCCTTCCAGGTTCAAGTGATTCTCCTGCCTTAGCCTCCCGAGTAGATGGGATTACAGGTGCCCACCACCACAACCAGCTAATTTTTGTATTTTCAGTAGAGACGGGATTTCGTCATGTTGGCCAGGCTGGTCTCGAATTCCTGACCTCAGATGATCTGCCCGCCTTGGCCTCCCAAAGTGCTGGGATTACAGGCATGAGCCACCGAGGCTAGCCTGGACAGTCTTAAAAGCCTAACAACACTAAGGAATCTGTTATCTGGAATATTTTTACTGATTGCAAGGCATATCTGTATATCAAGTTTTTTTCAGTTTTTATTCTTAAGTTTAGAAGAGCCAATCTGTGAGAAAAGACAAAAGTGAGAATCAATGACTTCTGCCCCTCAGATCCTAAAATTTAAGGCAGACAGATGAAACATACGCACGTGAAGATACTCACATGGAGAGACTAAGAATATCAAGAATAAAAATATACTATCAATTTAACATTACTATTGTGGAGTACTTAAAATATTTAATTGGTTATTAAAAAGGAAAATATTAAATATTAGTACTAGAAAGTAGATTCAAAGAAGGCTGCATAAGAACAAAGACTCTTGAGATGAAGACAGTAATTTTGTTGGGAAAAAACATGCTAGTACTATATATATACAACAATTAATTCTAAAATCATAACTCTGGTGGAACAAACTATTTTTAATCACAACTCTAATTATTCAAATGTTATCTCTGCTAGATTTTTACTCAAATCATTTCAGTACACCCCTCCAATTCATATGAAGAACCTGTTTAAGATTAGCCGCTCTTAATTTTGTTTTTGAAGAGTCCCAGAATTTGAAGATAAAGGAATTATTTTCTTTTAAGATCACTTCCTCTACTTAAGCACTTAAAAAAAAAAAAAAAAAATTCCAGGCCAGGCGCAGTGGCTCACACCTGTAATCCCAGCACTCTGGGAGGCCGAGGCGGGTGGATCACAAGGTCAAGAGATTGTAGACCATCCTGGTCAACATGGTGAAACCCCGTCTCTACTAAAAATAAAAAAAAAAAAAAAAATTAGCTGGGCACGGTGGCGCGTGCCTGTAATCCCAGCTACTCAGGAGGCTGAGGCAGGAGAATTGCCTGAACCCAGGAGGCAGAGGTTGCGGTGAGCCGAGATCGTGCCGTTGCACTCCAGCCTGGGTAACAAGAGCGAAACTCCGTCTCAAAAAAAAAAAAAAATTCCAACAATCCAGGGTAAATTGCACCTGTTAATATGTCACTTCAATTATGATACTATCATCCTCTGCTGTTCCAGTTTTCCAGTTCAATTTTCATATCTAAATCTTATACAAACACTTCCCTTAATTTACCAATTATCCTTCCTCTGGGGCCAAATCTTTTCAATACAAATGTTACTTATGAAATGATGTTATATCACTTGCCTTTTACTATAGACTCATATGTAGACGACTTGGACTTATCACTTGAATAATCAGCCAATATAGTCAATTTCAAACTTGAAAAAAAAAAGTAGTCCGGCATGCTGGCTCACACCTGTAACCCCAGCACTTTTGGAGGCTGAAGCAGGAGGATCACTTGAGCTTAGGTGTTCAAGACCAGCCTGGGAAACATAATGACCTTGTCTCTACTAAAAACCAAAAGAATTAGCTGATGTGGCGACGCACACCTGTAGTCCCAGCTACTCAAGAAACTGATGTGGGAGGATCACTTGAACCCATGAGTTTGAGGCTGCAGTTAGCTATGAGCACACCACCACACCACTGACCTACAGACTGGGCAACAAAGTGAGACCCTGTCTAAAAAAAAAAAAAGAAAAGAAAAGAAAACAAGTTATTAACGTTAGTTTTTGTTTACCAATTACAAATTTTATCTTGATAAAATTCCCTATGGCATAACTGTCTTATGTAACTACAGTAAAAGTCCTCAAGCAAGTTTTCCAAAACTGACAATGAAGAATCGGGTCAAGTCAATTGGGAAATCATAATCTTAATTAAAATCAAGTTGAACATTTCACTTGCTTTTTTTTTTTTTTGGAACAGAATCTCGCTCTGTCGCCCAGGCTGGAGTGCAGTGGCGTGATCTCAGCTCACTGCAACCTCCACCTCCCAGGTTCAAGCGAATCTCCTGCCTCAGCCTCCTGAGTAGCTGGGATTACAGGCACGCGCTACCACACCTGGCTAATTTTTGTATTTTTAGTAGAAACCAGGTTTCACCATGTTGGTCAGGCTGGTCTCCAACTCCTGACCTCATGATCCGTCCACCTCAGCTTTCCAATGTGCTGGGATTACAGGCGTGAGCCACTGCACCCAGCTGGACACTTTGCTTTCTTTTTCAGAGAAACAGGTGATTGCGAAACTGTATTATAATGTTGCCCCACACCGTGCAAGTATTTCACATACATATCCACTGCTACTTAAGATGTTTTAATGTTAATATAAACCCAAAAGGTTAACTTATGTCTTTCCTACTAAGTTGTTTAAATGTTTCTGAATAAACAAAGTAAAGAACATGAAGTAACATTATTAGTGTATCTTACCTGAGCCAAGTCTGCAAGCAATGCCTAACCACCCCACAAGCATATCATAAGCAATCATCTGGTTTAAAAGAAAAAAGGCTAAGAGAGACGAAAAATAAAGCAAAGTAGGTTGAAAAAGAAAAAAAGCAAGGGCAAAACTTCCCTGCAGATAATTTTCCCTATTTCCTCAGTCCGCCCTTCGTCCTCCATTTTTAAAATCCTCCGACTGAATGGAATAAGTTCCATGTGTTTAGTTCACTCTTTATGGGGATACTTTTTCCTACAAACGTCCTTGTGGGAAAAAAAAAAAATCTGATTTTTAAACGAATTATCATTTTATAGAAGCAATAGTTCTTACTACTCATAAGGACTCCAGAACAGTTTAGCGATAATTCTTTTTAAAGGGGCTTTGTAAATTGTATGAAATAGGCCAAATCCATATACGACTACTATCTTAATCGTAACTGGGGAGGTAGGATTCCGCAAAGCAAAAAGCCTTCTGAAATTCCGTGTCCCTACACCCTGTCTTCAATAATCAGCCCTAACATGTTAACAGAATGCTCTGCATCCTTAGCCCAGGGCCAGTAGTCAAACCAAGAAAAAATTTTATTTTAAAAACACTCACAAGGGCGAACCAAGGAGGACAGCGTGTGACTGAGGAGGCAGCAGGGCGACTAACTGGCTCCATGAACCCTGAATGGCTTAAAGGTCACAAGTCCCCGAGGACTTAAGGCAGTTTCCTCCTGCAACCCAAGCTGCGCTTTAGATCCCCAGGATTGAGCGAGCAGTGTATTTCGTACTTTAAAACTCTGCAAGTAGCCTAAGCAAGCCATGAGACAGCCAAGGGAGGCAGGAGGGGCCCGCGGGACTCCGGAGCCTGAGAAAGAAGAGAGATGGGGAGTGGAAGGCCAGGCGCAGGGCCTGGAACTGTTCATCGCGGGCCAGGCCTGGTCCGGGATGCCGCGGGAGCGAGGACGCGGCACAGCATCCGACTCACCTGCCCATTCTCCGAGCCCCGGGCCGACCCCCGCCTCATTCCCCACTCCCCAGACCCGGAAGGCCGTGAAGAGTGAGTACGAGATGCGAAGGGCTACGTAGGCCACGGTGCCCGCGCCCACCCAGTACAGGAAGCCGGCGACAGGGAGAGCGCTCTCCATGGCTTTCCACTAGGCCTCACTACCTTCGTGAATGAAAAAAGCGAATGAATGGATGCAGGAGGAGGCGCCGGCGGTGACGGTGAGGACTACGCTAACAGGGGCTGCTCCGACACCACTTTGGGCCTAAACCCCGCCTGCGGCGCCATATCCGTGTCCCTATTGGTGGTCTGTCTTTCCTTCTGCTCGTAGAGCGTTAGCCATTGGCTGACTCCAGTTCCACTGCCCCGCCCGCACTCCTCGTCCCTCACACACTGTGCGGCGTTTCCGTTCGAAAGCAGTGGACAGCTCATCTGCCAATCAAGCTTTGGTCCCACCCAATAGCGTCACCACGCTCCTCAGGGTTCCGCCTGCGAGTGCCCGGTCTCACCCCACCGAGGCGCCCCGATCTCTCATTGGCTGCAGCTGTACCCGCAGCTGCGGAAGACTGCGCTCGGATTGGCCAGTCAGGTTGGTTTGAGCTCAGGTTTGAAGAGGGATTGAGATCAGAGAAGCCGCTAGTGAATGGAAAGATTGTAGTAAGAAGTGGGCGTGAGCAGGGCGCGGTGGCACCTGATTACAGGTGTTAACCTGTAATCCCAGCAATTTGGGAGGCCGAGGCGGGCGGATCTTTTGAGCTTAGGAGTTGGAGACCAGCCTAGCCAACATGGCGACACCCCGTCTCTACTAAAAATACAAAAATTAGCTGGGCGTGGTGGCGCGCGCCTATAATCCCAGGAGGGGATATACTCAGGAGGCTGAGGCAGAAGAGTCACGGCACCTTGAACCCGGAAGGCTCAGGTTGCAGTGAGTCCAGATTGTTCCACTGTACTCCAGCCTGGGCGACAGAGTGAGACTCCGTCTCAGAACACACACACACACACACACACACACACACAGAGGGAGAGAGAGAGAGAGAGAGAAGCCACGGTTTTATTTTCAGCTATTAGTTTTATTTTCACCTATTTATTAAATAAATATGTATTTTACATATATATGATATAATAAATATATCGTTATTAAGCATGCTGTCATTGTTCCCATAAACTTTTCTAGACAAAGGCTTTCAGTCTTCTGTGTTTGTGCCTTCCTGGCATAGCTAGCCCTCTAAATACCAGGCCTCCCTCCCTGAAGGAGTGGAATAATTGTTACACAATGGCATCTGAGCTGTATAGTGAATGAAAAAGATAGGAACGCAGCTTGCTGAACAATTAGTTTTGAAAGGAGACTATATCTTTTAATTTGTCTTCAAAGGAGGATAGAACATTTTACCTTCTTTTTTTTAATTTCCCATTTTTGGTTGGGGGCAGGGAGAATGGTTATTTCCACGGGGCACGGGAGCGTGCAGTACAGGTAGAGACATGGGAACTACATCAGCAAAGTTCCAGAGGAGAAAGACCACAAGGTAAGTTTTAAAAATTGTGTAAAGCAATAAAGTGCTTCACACTTACTCTCTACGTTGCTTCAAGAGTTGTTTCCTTCTCTGGCATGGCTTTGGGCTCACAAAGTTACCTAAATTTTGTTCTTAGTCAGTAGGGGCTGCTGATTAAAGAGTTAAAAGGTTTTTTTTGTAAAGCAGGAACTTAAGGATAATAATTCTAAGGGTAACCATTCAACATATCTTGGAGCTAACTTTATAGTTTGCTAAGATTCAATTTGAGCCTTATTTCTTGCTGCCCAAACCCCCCCTTCTCCATTCTCTTATCAGATTAATTAGGTCTAACCCCAAGGCTGTAAATGTAAACCATCAATTACCCTGCAGAATTCAGCCATGTGAGTTGAGCTGACATCATTTTTTATTTTAATTGAATTTGGTACCTTTGGCTGGGGCTGCCTCTTCAGTTCAACCAAAGGCCCACCACTCTTCTCCCTCAACTTCTCCCTCTTCCCCACATCTTTGCCTACAATATAGGTATATCTCCAGATTTATATATCCCAGCTCATTCTTGCTCACCAACAAAGCGGCCTCTAGATATTCAGTCCCATTCTCCTTAGAGTAGGGTGGATGGCCGGGCGCGGTGGCTCACGCCTGCAATCCCAGCACTTTCGGAGGCCGAGGCGGGTGGATCACGAGGTCAAGAGATTGAGACCATCCTGGTCAACATGGTGAGACACCGTCTCTACTAAAAATGCAAAAATTAGCTGGGCATGGTGGCGCGTGCCTGTAATCCCAGCTACTCAGGAGGCTGAGGCAGGAGAATTGCCTGAACCCAGGAGGCGGAGGTTGCAGTGAGCCGAGATCACGCCATTGCACTGCAGCCTGGGTAACAAGAGCGAAACTCCGTCTCAAAAAAAAAAAAAGTAGGGTGGAAGGGGGAGGAGACAGTTATTATAAACTAAATACATTTTTTTACTGCATATATCTGTCTGTGGCCCCCACTAGAATCTGTGATTATAGGGGCCATTATGCTGTGAATCCACAGGACCTAAAACAGTGCCTGGGATGTAGAGGACCCCAAAATATATCTGAGAAATAAATAGAAGTGAAGATTAATTCATTTAACAAATATTATTGTGCTCTAATTATATGCCAATCACTGAGCTAGGTGCTAGATATAAAATAGTGAGTAAATGGGCAATTCTCAGTCCTAACCCTATTCTACTATTCATCAGGGAGTGGCCACTGTTTTTTCTCACAGTGTTCTTTGCTGGCTTCTCCTCCTACTGGCCTCTAAATTACACAATGCCCTCGGGCTCAGACCCCAGCTCTCTTTACTTCTCTAATATATGATTTTATCCGGTCTCTTGGTTTTAAATATCAACTGTAAGCTGATTACTTCCAAATGTCTTTGTCCAGGCTCAACTTCCTGCCTGTTCACATCTCTACTCAGATATAAAATAAACATTTCAAACTTAACATGTTCAGAATAGAACTCTGTGTTCAACACATGCACATGCACACGCGCACACACACACACACACACACACACATACACACACACCCCTTCCTCTTTTCTTTCCTATTTCTGATAATGATACCACTATTTACCTACTTTCTAAGGCCCAAGACCTAGGGATGAAACTTGATTCTTTTTTTTCCCTCTTGTCGCTCAGGCTGGAGTGCAATGGTGCAATCTCAGCTCACTGCAACCTCTGCCTCCAGAGTTCAAGTGATTCTCCTTCCTCAACCTCTCAATTAGCTGGAATTACAGATGCCCACCACTGTGGCCTGGCTAATTTTTGTATTTTTAGTAGAGACAGGGTTTCACCATGTTGGCCAGGCTGGTCTCGAACTTCTGACCTCAAGTTATCTGTCCACCTCAGCCTCCCATAGTGCTGGGATTATAGTCATGAGCCACCATGCTCTGCCTGAACCGTGATTCTTTTACATTCTATATCCAATTCTTTAGGAGGTCTTGTTCACTCCCCTACCAGAATACATCTTGACTTACCACTACCAACCTAATTCAAATCACAAGCATTTTTAGCCTGGAACATGGCAATAGCCTCCTGACTGGTATCCCTAAAGCCTGTCCTGGGGTTTGTTGACCATAGAGCAACTAGAGTGTTTATTTTTTTTAAGTAAATTAGATATCATTTCTTCTACTCAAATCCCTTCAGGAACTTTATACCACATTAAGAACAAAATCATCCAAGTTGAGTTTGTCTGCCCTGACTGCTCCAGCAACCACCCTCTCCTGTGCTCACTTAATTCCAGCCACACTAACTTCTTGCAATTCCTCGAAGAGGTCAAGTTCATTCTGGTCTCAGAGTCGTTCTATTACACTTCCCCTTCCCTCTGCCTGAAACCTCTTTCAAAGGCTCACTCCTTTGTATTATTTAGGCTTTTGCTCACATGTCATCCTTCTTCGAATGGTTTGCTCTGACCTCCCTTCATAACTGTCCCAAACAGCTTTCTCCTCTGCTCTAGCAATCCTTATCCTTTTACCCTACTTTGTTTTCCTTACAGAATGTAATGCTTTCAAACCGTTTGATCACTTAGCTCTTTGTTCATCTACCTAATAGAATGAATGTAAGTTCATGAGTACAGTGAACTTGCCTTGTTCACCACCGTATCTTCAGCTAAGACGCGCACCCAAGAGTACTTGACACTTGGTATGCAATAAATACCTGTTGAGTGATGAATGAATAAATAAAAATAGACTGTCTAGGGAGAGACATTCAGCAAACTTCCAACTAATTATGTGATAAAAATTGTAATACATACAAAGAAGAAAATACACTAGGACATAAGGAAAGAGATTAACAAGAGGACCTAATTTAGGTAGGGGAGAACAAACAGCCTTGAAAGGTCTTTCTAAGGAACTCATAATTGAACTGGGATCTGAGAATATGCAGAAATCGAGTTGGGGTGGAGTAGAGGAGAAAGCAACAAACACCCAATGGAGTTTTTGATGTGGTTTTCAAGAATACACATCTGTGTCCCTTGCAACTATCACAGCATATGGCATAAAATTAAATAGGCAATAATTAATTTTTGGTGTAGGACTATTTAAAGTAAATACATGTACCTTGGAAATGGAATTTCCATTGCTGTTAGAATTGGTTATTTTAAGGAAAAGGAATGTTAAAGGCTGAAACTGTTTCATTTGGTATCCATTCCTCTTCTGAAATATCTAGGCACTACCCACGTTAATAGGAATAATCGTTCTTTTAAATGTACACATTTATTCTGATCATCTCAGCCTCTTATTAGGACTTAGGAATACTAACTGTTTTATCTACTAAGAGGAAAAAACAGTGACTTCCACAAAGTGAAGCAGTACATTTCAGGGAGCCCTTTGGAGTTCAGGTGTCCCACACTTTTGGAATTCAACAATCTCTTGTCTCTGAATAAATTTTAAGAACCACAGTAAACTCTAATGCATACAGGACCTATAATGATGACCCACTCCTATTCAGCAGTATTCTGTGCTGAAATTTAACATCAAATGAAGGGTTAATAGAGCCATACTAACCAAACATGTGAAAGCTATAATACCTCTCCAGAAATGAAGCACTATAATAAAACTCTGGCCTTTAGAGTCAGGTAAATCTGAGACCAGATCCTAATTCTGCCTCTAATTAGCTGTATGATCTCGTATAAATTTAATATAACTGCGAATTCAAATTTACGTCTGGAAAATGAGAACAATACTGCTTAAGCATTTAGCAGGGATTGACAGATGTTGTGTTCAATGAGGTAGGTATTACTCTTATTCCCATTTTACAAATAAGGAAACAGAGGTTTAGAGCAAGTAAGTGGCAGAATTGGAATTTGAACCAAAAAGGTGTGACTATGAAATCATATCTCCAGAACTAACTCAGAGAAAGCAGCATCTAAAAAGTGGCTAAGGGTGGGGCGCGGTGGCTTATGCCTATAATCCCAGCACTTTGGGTGGATCCTTTGAGCTCAAGAGTTGGAGACCAGCGTGGGCAACATAGTGAAACCCCGTCTCTACAAAAAAAAAAAAAAAAAAACACAAAAAAATTAGCTGGGCATGATTAGGTGCACGCCTGTAGTCCTAGCTACTTGGGAGGCTAGGCAGAATAATTGCTTGAGCCTGGGAGGCGAAGGATGCAGTGAGCTGAGATTGTGCCACTGGACTCCAGCCTGGGTGACAGAGTGAGACCCTGTCTCGAAAGAAAGAAAGAAAGAGAGAAAAAGAGAGAGAGAGAGAGAAGGGGAGAGAAAAAGACTAAAGGAGAGTAGAAGAGTCTTTAGAAATATTTTGTTGTTACACAAAATACTCAGACACAATCACATTAGATTTCAGCTTCATTTATTAACAAATTTAAAGTTTAGAATGGTATTTAATATGGAAAAATATGAAGCAACAATATTGTATCATATTAGTATACAGATATTCCCATTTAGTTGAAAATTCATTCTTAATATTTCTGTAAATTGAGTTTCAGATCAGAGTCTCCTGATGAAATCAGGAGTCGTTCAATAGAATGAAAGAACATTTCATAATGAGGGAATTTCATAGACACAGGGAATTATTAAGCATACCATCTCGTTTAATCCTTTGGGACACAGCTGACTCCTTCGTTTGGCTGCATAATAAAACCTTTTAACAGTTCTATCGTCTCTTTCATCTTCATTTAAACATTGTTCAAAATATTGAACTTCAACCTACCTTTAAATTCAGTTGTCTAATCCTGGGTTAAAAAGAAAAGTGTTGTGATGAACAAACCAATTTAAAAGAAAGTGAGTTTTTAGCATTAGAAATCGGGAGATTTCCCAAACGTTAATATTTAATTTATTTAACAAGCAATATTACAGTAAGAAAGGAAGATTAACATTTATCGTCTGGGTGAGGTGGCTCACGCCTACAATCCCAGCACTTTGAGAAGCCAAGGCAGGTGGATCACCTGAGGTCAAGAGTTGGTGACCAGACTGGCTAACACGGTAAAACCCCGCCTCTACTAAAAATACCAAAATGAGCCAAATGCGGTGGCAGGTGCCTATAATCCCAGCTGCTCTAGAGGCTGAGGCAGGAGAATCCCTTGAACCGAGGAGGAGGAATTGCAGTGAGCCAAGTTTGCACTACAGCCCTCTAGCTTGGGCGACAGAGCGAGACTGTCTCAAAAACAAACAAAAAAACATTTATTATGCTTTAATATTGCATTATCAACTTCAAAGTCAGTTCACATACATTACCCCATTCAAACTTCAAAATAACGCCTCCATTTTTTCAACAAGAAAATTAACTCTTTAAGTTAAACTTCTTGGGGAATGAACACTTTACTGTAGCAGGCCTCTTTCTAGAACCAAGATGTCTGCACTAAAAATGCAGGGCTCTTTCTACTCTGCCACCTATTTTATAATAGAACTTAGACTCACATTCATAGTCTTCTGTAAACCTGTTTCTCAAATAAAACTGAAATCAGTATTTTGACACAAGTGATTAGAAGATGTAGTTTTAAAATTTTACTTATTTTTTAGTTTCAAAAGCACATGGAATTATATGAAACAAAAAAGCATCCCACCCCATTTTCTATTCCCACTAACAGTTGGCAATTTGTACTGTATTCTTCCATTTCTTTTTCTTTTCATTTCCATTTCTAAGTATGAAGCTATATAATATACACAACATATACATATATACTTTTTTAGAAGTAAAAGCTGTGATCATACAAAAATAATTCAACAACTTTCTTTCTCCACTCAATAATATATAGTTAAAAATACCATAGTGAGACAGGGCGTGGTGGCTCAAGCCTGTAATCCCAGCACTTTGGGAGGCCAAGGTGGGTGGATTACCTGAGGTCGGGAGTTCAAGACCAGCCTGACCAACTTGGAGAAACCCTGTCTCAACTGAAAATACAAAATTAGCTGGGCTTGGTGACACATGCCTGTAATCCCAGCTACTTGGGAGGCTGAGGCAGAAGAATTGCTGGAACCCGGGAGGTGGAGGTTGTGGTGAGCTGAGATTGCACCATTGCATTCCAACCTGGGCAACAAGAGCAAAACTCCACCTGAAAAAAAAAAAAACACATAGTGAAATATTGACATATGCAATATTGCACATTAACTGGTGTCTTTATTGCATCAGCAGATCTAATAATCATTCCATCAATCTTATTCAGAATACTTTTGCTTAAAGCAAGGAATTAGTGCCATGGTAAAAAAAACAGTTTAAAACCACGTGAAGGGGGCCGGGTACAGTGGCTCATGCCTCTAATCCCAGCACTCTGGGAGGCTGAGGTGGGCAGATCGCCTGAGGTCAGAAGTTCAAGATCAGCCTGGCCAACATGGCAAAACCCTGTCTCTACGAAAAAACAGAAATTAGCTGGGCGTGGTGGCATGCACTTGTAATCCCACCTACTCGGGAGGCTGAGGCTGGAGAATTGCTTGAACCTGGGAGGCGGAGGTTGCAGTGAGCCAAGACTGCGCCACTGTACTCCAGCCTGGATGAGACAGTGAGACTCCATGTCAAAAATAAAAAAATAAAACCATGTGAAAGTAAACCATAATATCTTACCTATATTGTATATCCAGCCAAAAATAACATAACTGTAGGACAGTTATGCAGGCAAACAATATAGTGGAATTTCAGAAGGTTTTCTTTACCGAATCCTTACTTTAGCAATGGGTTCAAGGATTTTTTTATCTTTACCCCATTTTTTTCTAAAAATTCTAGCTACTTTACTTTCTATTACTCTTACCTAGTTCTTTCCTTTATTCCCCTTATTATCTTTTTTAAAAATTTGTATAAAGACAGAGTTTTGCTCTGTTACCCAGGCTGGAGTCCAGTGGTATGATCATATCTCAATGCAGCCTTCAACTCCTGGACTCAAGCAATCCTCCTGCCTCAGCCTCCCAAGTAGCTAGGACTACATGCACACAGCACCACACCCAGCTAATGTTTTTTGTAGACACAAGGCCTTGCTATGTTGCCCAGGGTGGACACCAACTCCTAGGCTCAGGTAATCTCCTGTCTTGACCTCCCAAAGTTCTGGGATTACAGGCATGAGCTACTGTACCAGATTCCCTTGCTTTCTTGTTAAATATATTTGATGCATACAAAAGAGTAGATGAAATACATGTTTGTTATATAAAGCATAATATAATGATGCTTTAAACTCACCACCTAACTCAAGAACCAAAAAAGACAAAAACCCATCCTAGCCCATCCTCCAGAGGTAAGCGCAGCCCTAAATATGTATATCGTTCTACAACTTTTAAATATATATACTTATATCACAAATATATGTGAGATAATAACATGTTGTTTCATTTTGCTTATCTTTGAGTTCTATTTAAAAAGCATGATACGGTGGGTGCTAGGGAAGGCGATCCAGGTCTTGTCTCCAGGGTCAAGACCCTTCATGCCCACATCTGCTGACAGTCTATGTCCCCCTATGGGACTTGTTCTAGGCTAAAGGGAGCTGCTTCGTTCCTCCCCAGTGGCAGCCTACATCTAATGACTGGGTGATGCAGGAGTACAAAAGCCTAGACCACCTACCTCAACTATGAACATCTCTGAAAAGCCTTCCCAGCTTCAGAGCTCCCAGTGGAATTTCCTGAAGCTTCCATTATACTGCAGTGCAGCTCAACTTCTCTTTCAGCTTCCTCCAGCTTCCTTCACTCCCTTACGGATGTTGTTCCCCAGAGTACTCCATTACAAATCCCCTGCAAGCAAATCTCAATCTCAGAGTCTGTTTCCTGGGAAACATGACTGTTGTGGGTTGTAATGTATCTCTCTAAAAGATATGTTGAAGTCCTAACCCCACAATCTGTGGCCTTGGCCTTATTTGGAAGTAAGGTCTTTGCAGATTTGATCAGGTTAAGATGAGGTCATACTGGATTAGGGTGGGCCCTAAATCCAATGTCTGTTTCCTTATAAAAAGAGAGAGATTTAGAGAAACACAAAGAGACAGAGGGAGAGACAATGAAAGCAGAGATTTTACTACCATAGCTTCCAACCAAAGAACGTTCAAAATGGCCAGCCACCACCAGAAGCTAGGAAGAGGCAAGGAAGGATGCTTCCTGAGAGCCCGAGAGCCTGCAGAGAGGGCACAGCCCTTCCCAACACCTTGATTTTGGAGTTCTATCCTCCGGAACTGTGAGAAAATAAATTGCAACTCTTTTTTTTTTTTTTTTTTTTGAGACAGAGGCTCACTGCAGTCTCCACCTCCCAAGTTCAAGCAATTCTCTTGCCTCAGCCTCCAAAGTAGCTTGGACTACAGCCATGTGCCACCACACCCAGCTAATTTTTGTATTTTTAGTAGAGATGGGGTTTTGCCATGATGGTCAGGCTGGTCTTGAACTTCTGACCTCAAGTTATTCGCCCAGCTCCGCCTCCCAAACTGCTGGGATTACAGATATGAGCCACCTTGCCCGGCCAATAAATTGCTGTTTTTTAAAGCCACCTACTTTGTAGTGATTGGTTGTAGCAGTCCTAAGGAAAGTCACAGGTAGACCTAAGACACAAGCTTGGGTAGTCTTCTGGAACTTGCTTTTTTTTTTAAACTCAGCATCATGTTTCTGAGAATTATTCTTGCTGTTGACCTAGCTGTAGTTCTCTATTCATTTTCTTCAGTATCAGTGGCAATATCTCATCAGAGATATATTAACAATATACATAGCCAGTTGTGGTGGTTCATGCCTGTAATTCTAACCCTTTGGGAGGCCAAAGCATGGAATTGCTTGAACCCAGGAGTTTGAGATCAGCCTGAGCAACAAAGCTAGACCCCATCTCTACAAAAACATTTCTTTTTAATTAGCTGGACATGGTGGCACACACAGGTAGTCCCAGCTACTCCAGAAGGCTTAAGTGGGAGGATCATCTGAGCCAGGAGTTTGATGCTGCAGTGAGCTATAATCACGTCACTGCACTCCAGCCTGGGTGACAGAGCAAGACCCTGCCTCAAAAATATATAATAATGATAATAGTAATAATACATTATTGAAAAACCTTTAATTCTGTTCTTTCTAAAATGATTATGCATCTGTTTTGGGATACACTCTCTTATAGTATTTATAAGTATTTATGTTCCTTTACTTTATTTCAAATGTTTGAGAAAAGTTGCCATATCAATTTTAAAATTGATTCCATATTTATCTTTGCACTTATGTGTCTGGCAGAATAATGACCTTTTAAAGATATCCATGTCTACATATCTGTGAATGTTACCCTGTGTGGGAACATATTATAAGGACGTGATTAAATTAAGAGCCTTTGAGGTGGGTGGTTATCTAGGTGAGGCTCATCTTTTTTTTTTTTGAGATGGAGTCTTGTTCTGTCCCCAGGCTGGAGTGCATTGACGTGATCTTGGATCACTGCACCCTCTGCCTCCTGGGTTCAAGAGATTCTTCTGCCTCAGCCTCCCAAGTAGCTAGGACTGCAGGCGCATGCCACCATGTCCAGCTAATTTTTGTATATTTATTAGAGACGGGGTTTCACAATGTTGGCCAACATGGTCTCGATCACTTGAGGTCAGGAATTCAAGACCAATCTGGCCAGTATGGTGAAACCATGTCTCTACTAAAAATATATAAATTAGCCAGGCGTGGTGGCACATGCCTGTAATCCCAGCTACTTGGGAGGCTGAGGCAGGAGAATCGCTTGAACCTGGGAGGCGGAGTTTGCCATGAGCCGAAATTGCACCACTGCACCCCAGCCTCAGTGACAGAGTGAGATTCTGTCTCAAAAAAATAAACTCAGAGGTCAGAATTTTAAAACTATATAGTGTATTAGTTATCACTACTTTTCATTTATAACTTGCGAATTGTTCATTTGTAGAAACAAGAATTGAAATGGTGTGACTATAAAAAAGAAGCTGTGGCTTTATTGTCTCACCTGTCCCAAATCAGTTCGTTTGCTATTTGCAGGGAATAAAGAGCAGGTTATTAAAAGCAGTAAAAGTAAATGTACAGTTATTGAATAGTTGGTCATTCATCCTCATTCCATTTGGGCTGCCTGGCAGATGTACCAATTTCATTGTCAGCTCCTACTCAAGAGTGATCTCAGGAAAATTGCCTCATGTTGCCCTGTTTACATGGAACATTTAAAAATCAGAATACCAGAAAATGTTCTGTGATGTAGAGTGAATGACTTTCACATTATCGATACAGGGTATCTAAATATATTTTCCTGTCTCTAGCCTCCTTCTATTAATTGTCCTTATTTTGTGTTATGAGAATGTTAAAAAGTCCCTTCAAAATCTTTTTTCAAACTAGGCAAAGAATGAAAAATAGGACAGGTGTGATGGCTCCTGCCTGTAATCCCAGCACTTTGGGAGGCCCAGGCAAGTGGATCACTTGAGTTCAGGAGTTTGAGACCAGCCTAGGCAACCTGGTGAGATGCCGTCTCTACAAAACAAACAAAAAATGTCCCAGTGTGGTAGTGCATACCTGTAGTCCCAGCACTATGGCAAGCCAAGTCAGGAGGATTGCTTGAGTCCAGGAGTTCAAGACCAGCTGGGCAGCATGGCAAAACTTTGTCTCTGCATCTGCAACAACAACAACAACAAATTACCTGGGCGGGCTGGTGTGTGCCTAGAGTCCCAGATGCTAGGGAGGCTGAGGTGGGAGGATTGATTGAGCCTGGGAGGTTGAGGCTGCAGTGTGCTATGACTACACCACTACACTCCAGCCTGGATGACAGAGTAAAACACTGCCTCAAAATAAAATAAAATAAATATTCCCCCTTTCCTAGGACCCAGGTATTGAGGAAATGAAGGGACTAGCATACCTAAAGGCTCTAAAGTGGAAAAAGTACAGGAGGGAAGAAAGAGTAGCATGACTGGAGTAGAAAGGAAGGGAGAGTGGGAAGGGAATGATGGAAAACTAATTGAAAAGTTAGCCAGATGTGGTAAGTTGCACCTGAGTCTATGGCTAACCACATACAACCATAAAATATCCTTGGCATACAATAAACTCCATCTATTTCTCTTTTCCAACTTGTCTACTCTGTGGGTTGACAAGAATTTGGTTAATATAGACTGACTTCAGCAGGCTTTGCTCCAGGCCAAGGGCTGGCTTATCTTTGCTCAGCTTCTCTCAATCATCTAGGGTCACCCAGATCAGAAGATACTTTTAGACAGGCATGACTCTCTCTCTCTCTCTCTCTCTCTCTCTCTCTCTCTCTCTCTCTCTCTCTCTCTGTGTGTGTGTGTGTGTGTGTTTAGAGCAAAGCATATCAGTAATAGAATCTTAATAGAATCTTCCTTTCTCAGAAGGAGCCCTCAGTTGTGTGATCGTGGACATTCTGGTATTTAGTTAGCTCAAATGTAAAGTGGGAATGCAAATCATGTCTACCTTTCAGGGAGGATGACACCAAGAAATCTGAAGGACCTATTCAATTTCCACTTCCACTCTCATTCTCATCAGTAGTAGTTATCACCAGGCATGGTGGTTCGCTCCTGTAACCCCAGTACTTTAGGAGGCTGAGGCGGGAAGATCACTTGAGGTCAGGTGTTCAAAACCAGCCTGGGCAAGATAGTGGGATCCTGTTTCTACAAAAAAATTTAAAATTACCTGGGCACCCTTCCTTCCTTCCCTCCTTCCTTCCTTCCCTCCTTCCTTCCTTCCTTCTTTCCCTCCCTCCTTCCTTCCTTCCTTCCTTCCCTCCCTCCTTCCTACCCCTCCCTCCCTCCTTCTTTCCTTCCCCTCCTTCCCTCCTTTCTTTTCTTTCTTTTTCTTTCCTTCTTTCTTTCATGCTTTCATGTGGTCCACTTTAGGAGGCCAAGGTGGATAGATCATTTTAAGTCAGGAGTTCAAGACCAGCCTGGCCAACATGGTGAAAACCAGCCTCTACTAAAAATAAAAATAAATTAGCCAGGTGCTGTGGCAGGCACCTGTAGTCCCAGCTACTTGGGAGGCTGAGGGAGGGGAATTGCTTGAACCTAGGAGGCAGAGGTTGCAGTGAGCCAAGATCATGCCACTGCACTCCGGCTTGGGCAACAGAGTGAGAAAAAAAAGAGAAAGAACGAACGAAAGAAAGAAAGAAGGAAAGAAAGAAAGAAAGAAAGAAAGAAAGAAAGAAAGAAAGAAAGAAAGAAAGAAAGAAAGAGAAAGAAAGAAAGAAAAAGAAAGAAAGGAGGGAGGGAGGGAGGGAGGGAGGGAGGGAGGGAGGGAGGGAGGAGAGAGAGAGATGGGGAGGAAGGGAGGGAGGAAGGGAGAGAGAAAGAAAGGAAGAAAGAAGGAAAGAAAGAGAGAGAGATTTGCTCACTCTGCCAGGCAGGAGGCTAGGGTGCAGTGGCGCAATCACAGCACACTGTAGTCTGGAACTCCTGGTCTCAGGCAGTCCTCCCACCTTGGCCTCCCGAAGTGCTAGGATTACAAGTGTGCACCACCATGCCCAAGCTAAAATTTTAATTTATCCATTTCCCACAAGAAGAAAAGTATAAATGGAGGTACCAGATATTCGGATCTTACTGATATGTCACAAAAATCCCACTTAACCCTCATTTATCAAGAAGATAGTGAATTATTTTTGTTCTCTGAACTGTCAGTTTAAAAATAAAAACAAAAGCTAGAGTGTATACTATATTATATTCTACCTTTCTATTTAAAGTAGTAAACATTTTTCCAAGTCATAATTTCAATATAAGTTTTAATGACTTGATATTTTATGCATGAATATATCATGGATTTAAATAATGTCCTATTTCTGGGCATTTGGGTTAAGTATTTAGCTATTATGAATAATGCCAAAATAAACATCCTTGTATGTAAGTTTTATACACATCTCTGATTCATTTTCCCCCCTTTTTTGGGGGGAGAATGGTGTCTCACTATGTCGTCTAGGCAAATCTCAGACTCCTGGCCTCAAGCTATCCTTCCGCCTCTGCTTCCCTAAATGTTGGGATTACATGCATGAACCACCATGCTTGGCTCACATCTCTAATTCTTTATATTAAGTTCTCAGACATGCACTTATTAAGTTAAATTGCATGAACACTTAGGCCACTTATCAAGGACTTTCTTAGTCCACTTTATTGTATTTACATACAATCTACAAATTCATCATAATCAAGATAAACAACATTTCCATAATCTCTGAGGGTTTCTTCATGCCTCCTTATAGTCAGTGCTCTTTTTGACACCCCCCCACCTGGCATAGCCACTGATTCTGCTGTCATTCTAGTTTTGCCTTTCTAGAAATGCATACAAATGGAATCATGCAGCATATGGTCTTTTGTGTCTGGCTTCTCTCACTTAGCATACCACCCTTGAGATTAATCCGTGGTGTGTATTGGCAGTCTGTTCCTTTTTAATATTTATTATTTATTTTCGAGATGGAGTCTCGCACTGTCACCCAGGCTGGAGTACAGTGGCAAGATCTCAGTTCACTGCAACCTCTGCCTACCAGATTCAAGCAATTCTCCTGCCTCAGCCTTCCGAGTAGTTGGGATTACAGATGTGCACCACCATGGTGGATAATTTTTGTATTTTTAGTAAAGACGGGGTTTTGCCATGTTAGCCAGGCTGGTCTCGAACTCCTGACCTCAGGAGATCCACCCGCCTCAGCCTCCCAAAGGCTGGGATTCCAGGTATGAGCCAGCGTGCCCAGACAGCCTGTTCCTTTCTATTGCTGAGTAGTATTCCATTTTGTTATCCACTCTTTAGTTGATCAATGTTTGTGTTGTTCCCAATTTTTGACTGTTATGGATAAAGCAGATATGAACATTCACATACAAGTCTGTGTGGAACATGAGCTTTAATTTCCTTTGGGTAAACAATAGTGAGGAACAAATTTATAGGTTATACAGTAAATATTTAATTCTATAAGAAACTGCCAAACTGTTTTCCAAAATGGCTGTACCAGCTTGCTCTACCATTTAGTATTGTCTTTTTTATCTCATTGATATGTAGTGGTATCTCAATGTGACTTTCATTAGTGTTAATTCATTCATATTAGTTATCTTTAATTAATAACTTACAGCATTATCTTTGCTGTAAAGATAATGAACATCTTTTCATGTTTAAATGTCTTATTGGACATTTATTTATCTTAGTTTGTGAAGTATTTGTTCAAAGCAAGTGGAGGGTTTGAGGGACTTGGGGATATGAAGCAGTAACAACACTTGGCAAGCTTTATGGAGTGGTTCTTGGGCAATGGTGTATGAGAGAGGAAGTCCTTCACAGCATGAGACTTTCTGAATGCTAACAATGAGGGGCCTACCCTCCAGCAGGAAAGAGAGTGTATGGGAACTCTTAGGGAGGGAGGAAAATCAGAGAGGGAGTTTATATGCCCGGGTGATAACCCTGCAGTAGCATGGTAGGGGAGTCTCTGGATCAGAGAATATTGAAGAATAAGAGCAGCAGTGATTTGGGGCCTGGGGCTTATCTTATATATAGCTAGCAGGTGTGGAGTGATTTCATGGGTTATACCAACCAGGCAGGTTCTAAAGTGCTGAAAATCTTGTTTGGGCTTAAAGAAAAAAATAGACGTGTAAAAAAATTGACTTTGGCACTGATGGACTTTTGTACTAACAGGTCTCAGCCTGCAGTGAAGAAATAAACAACCTAGAAGCCAATACATCCAGGCCATCGTTGGCTCACTTATATAAGAAAGCTTTTGCTGATATTTTTAATTAGGTTATCTGTTTTATTACTGAGTTGTAAGAGTTCTTTATATATTCTGGAGAGGAATCCTTCATCAGATGTCTTGCAAACGTTTTCTTCCGTTTATATAGCTTGCTTTTCATTTTCTTAACTGTATTTTGATAAGGAAAAGTTTTTAATTTTGATGAAGTCCAATTTATCGATTTCTTTTCTTTTATGCTTCCTACTTTTTATGTCTTATCTAAGAAATGTTTGCATCAACTAAGACCTCAAAGATTTTTCTCCTATTTTCTTCTAGAAGTTTTATGGTTTTAGTTCACATGTTTAGGTTTATGACTCATTTCAAGTCCATCTTTGAAATCAGTATGAAGCAAGGAACAAGACTCAACTTTTTGCATATGGATTCCAAATGTCCCAGCACCATTCCTGACTCGTAACTCCCATATCCCTTGTTATAGTCTTTTGTTATAATGTTGGAATGCTTTAGGCCTCAGAAGAAAACAAATTCTTCAGAAAACAGAATCTCTCTCTGACCTCTCTTCCCCTGCCCTCCTTCCACCAGCCCAAGGCAGGACTCTAATCTCCCCCTACTTTTCTGACTGTAGGTCATAAGATCCTCATTTCAGAAGGGTCCTGCCCCATGCCCTGAAGAAAAAAAATGCTGCCAGAGAGGCCAAGAATCTGAAAAGACCAGTCTTTCTGGGTTTCCTCCCTCAGTAATAGTAATGAATGGTATGATCTTATTAATATTAGATCATACTCTTTTTCTCCATTCTTATATCCACACAGTCCTCATCATGCCTATCCAATGAAGTCTCCATAAAAGATCCAAGAGGACAGAGTGAGGGAAGCTTCCAGATATCTGAACATGTGAAGGTTCCTGGAGGGTGTGTGCCTGGGGAGGGCATGAAAACTCTTCACCCCTTCCTCCATACCTTAC